ACGCGAAGACAGTGGAGAAACGAGATGGTGCTATCTTGGACGTTAATATCCACTGCTCACTGCCTTGTGTGAGTGGTATAATCGTGCTAGACTTTCCTATTTACTGAAGTAGAATATAGCCACTGCCCATTGACGAAGTCTCTGTCACGCTCTCCGGACGAGACGGCAGCAAGATTATCTTCGTCGATAAGGTTTCATCACTGGAACCAGGCAAGAATGCACTTTCGCTATTCTGCCATGTAAGTTTGATCCGCATCCTGTTTATGCATTTCGCTCACGAAAGCATAGTCAGCAAGTGCAGGGACCTACTCGTTACATAGTACTCAAGTGAAAATGTCGAACTTGACATTACAATGGGTACACTCGCCGCCACCGACAGGGAAACAATCTCGTGTAAAGCGACCTCCTGTGTTGGTTCGAGTGCCAAGAGACCTTCATGCGGTTGATGTACGACTGCGACAGCCACAGCGAAGTAAGTGTGAAAGGCAATCATTTTCTCAAATTGTGGTGCTGACGACTTGGCACAGTCCAGCTGGGAACAGCTCCGTCAATCGTAGCTGTTTTCACTTCTGGCCGGAATGAGATTCGCTCCGCCATCTTGAAGCTCTCTGCGCCCTCTGGTGTCAAATTTCTGTACAAAGACGCGTCTGCCTCGTCGGAAGGTACGGACTACCTTCACTGCATGCTGTGCATTTGCTTGATGTTGCCGTAGATCAAGTACTGCTAGAGCATGGTACGGACTCGGCCACCTTGTCCGATATCGCTCCGGGGCAAACTATCTTGCTTTCAATGCCTCATACGGATGCATCCGCATACCATGCGATGGTGAGTGTCGACGTTCGGTCTACATATCACCGTCCTGATCATGAAGTGTAGCGAGTGAACATCACAGTAGAGTACACAACGGCAGCGGAACCTGATGTAGTCAGGATTCTTCAGCTGGTACGATATGTCCTGACTGCGCTACCGGTAGCCATCAACGTGGAAGACTTCTTCCGTGGAACACGGTGCGCCCTATGGTCTACCACCGCTCCAGCACTGATTAAATTGACATGGCCACAGGCTCTTCACGCGATTCACCCTGTCATCAACCTCTCCACAGCATGTGCGCATTCTGTCGACAGAGCTCGTATCTCAAGGACCTGGGGATGATGGATTGAAGATCACCAAGTGCATTTCACCGTCTCGGAGGCTAACGGTAAGCTCTAGGATTTCCTTACGAAGAGCAACAACAGCTCAAATGTTATAAGACCATCACTCCAGCTCAACCCGGTAGATTCCTGTTCCAGCTTGACTCGGCTCGTGGTGAAGGTGAGCTACTACAATTTGTGGATAAGCACCAGCTATTGACAAGGCAAGCAGAGCGAGATCCGCTGCATCTGAAAATTCGTTACCGGATGCTGAGAGAAGGTAGTGGATTTCGTGATATAGTATTAACGCAAAATGCTGACCATGAGTTACAGAAGTAGAGCAGGTCATGGAATCTATCATTGACGATGTGATCGTGGAGTCAGAGGCGCTTGCGTTGCGGCGACCAGAGATCCTTGATATTTTGGTGCAAGCTTTGGAGAAAGATCCTGCATGGGTCTCACTCTACGAAGTCACTGGCGAACTTGTGATACCTAACGTTACAGCTGGAGAGGACGATATCGGACAGGCCTTGGTGCAGATCAAGAAGGTATGTTCCTCGACTGCATTCTTGACTGTGATTTCTGACAATTCCCGAAGCTGCTCGACAAATCGCGACGTCTAGAAGAGTTTCCTGGGGAATGGCGGGAGATCATCATACCAGTAGATGTTCCTCAAATGCATGTAAGTGACAAGTACGCATCACAAACTCTCGCACGACTGAACTTTCTGCTGTAGATTCTTGCAGCCGCTTCACTACGAATATCTTCCAACCCCTTTTCTGCAGACCCGTCGAAAGCGCTTGACCTATTCGCGGGTCAACCCATCCATGCCATCTTGACGATTCGTACCTCGTTCCATTGGGCGCCCATGGAAGACAGTCATACCAAAAGTTACCGCATGCGCTTCGATGTCGAGGAGCTTTCGAAAGACTGGCTAGTCAGCGGTCGAAAACGTGGAGATTTCGTCGCTGTAGTGAGTACCATTTGTCGTCGAAATTGACATTAGCTGATAGCAACCCACAGGATGACGAAACATTCACAACATCCATCACATTGATTGCCCTTCACCACGGCGAACTTGCGTTACCGAAAGTAGCTGTAACTGCTCTTCCTCTACCAGGGGAACACAGAATGAAGGCACAGATGCTTCCGAGCTGCGAGACCTATCAGATACATGGTGCCCAGACTGTCCTTGTTTTGCCTCGTGGTGGGCGAAGCACATTCGTTGTTAGTATGGGGGATAGCGCATGAGGAGTTTCTTATCTTGAAATTATTACCTTCGAACCTTCTCTGGATATAATTTCATTGCGTTTCTTTACCGTCATCGAGCAGCAACCCGCGAGCACAGCCGCTCACTGGCATTGACAACGAGACGAGTGACGGGCATTCACCAAGAGTCACGATCACGAGACGTGACCTCGGATGCGTGACGTATCAACAATGACGCGTTTGGCGCGTGCGCCCAAGCTTCTTCGTTACCAACTCTCCGCTGCTCCCCGACCTTCACCGAACTGCAACATTTCTGAGATAATCCACATATACTGAAGCCATGTCAGACTTGTACGTCGTTGCACTTCTGCATACGATGCTTTCCTCTCTAATAACGTTCTTGCAGCGACGCAGAACGCGAGGCGAATATCGCCAGGAATAAGGCCCTTCTCGCACAGTTGGACATCTCTATGAGCAGTCTTGAAATTCCTGTTAACGCAGAGAAAGTCAAAGCGAAGCCAGTGCAACCCGCCAAGAGAGTAAAGCGAGAGAGAGCGGAACCAGCTCCGCTGAGGGAGACACGAGCATCTGCACGTCTGAGACGACCTGTGATAAATCCCAATGAGACACCAGCACAGAAGAAGAAGCGAGAGGCGAGTCAAATTGCCGCATGTCAGACAGATTTGATTGACTCATTTTGACGCAGAAAGAAGAGGAGGAGAGGAGAAGGAAGGAAGAGGAAGAGCGGTTGGAGGCAGAAGAACGGGAACGGGAAGCCAAACGCCCTCGTCATCAGGAGTTAGACCTCAACGTATTGACGGAAGAACTCGACGATGTGGAACGAACATCCTTACGCTCAAGCTTTGAGCAGATACTGAAGACCGCAAATCCTCGTCGCGCAGCAAGTCTAGATGCATTCACGTTTGACGACGATGACGCCCAGGAAGCAACAGAGGTCAAAGACCTGAAGAAGCGATTAGGCAATTTGAAGGTCGTTGCGAGGGCGAAAGTGTGCAAGGACCGAATATACAGTGCTGCGTATCATCCAGAAGCAACGAAAGATCTCATTTTCTTCGGAGGTGTGTCCCTAGTTCTGTGGCGAATCGTCCATGTCTTACGCCGGTGGTGCAGACAAACATGGTCAGCTTGGTATTTGGGATGCCAGGGCTGCCACAGAAGAAGTCAACGACGAGGACGATGGAAACCCTGTAGACACGAAGGAGAACGGGAAATACTGGCGATTACAATCCCATTGGCCAGCAACATCCAAATCGTCCATATCTAGCATCAAGTTTGACCCAATAGATGCCCATAGCGTAAGTTTTCATTCGCATGCCTCCTCGATCAAGGCACTCAAGTCATTCTAGGTCTTCACAACTTCGTATGATACTACTTTACGCAGCCTCTCCTTCACTTCAGGACTATCACGAGAGATCTACGCGACCGCATCAGAGGAAATCCTAATCCATTCGATGGACATGCCCCCAGCTGGACACGAAATGTGGATCTCTGACTCGTCTGGCGGCCTCACACATCTTGATTTGCGAGAAGATAAGTCGAAAGCTCAGTGGTATGGTGTGTCCACCCACAAGATTGGCAGCGTCAGTGTGAACCCGACAAACCCACATTTCCTGCTGACTGCGTCCAATAACCGGTTTCTGAGGTGGGTCTCCACGTCACTTCAGAAATTTCGATAACTGATGTACTGGAACAGGATATGGGATGCGCGGAATTTCGATGTACTCAAATCACTTGAAGACGAAGATGACGTCAAGAATATCGAGACGTTCTTGGAATCAGACGACGGCAGTGCGTGCCTCCGAAGCAGCTGGGAGCATGGCAAGTCGATCAACTCGGCCTACTGGGACCCAAGAGGGCGAGGGATCGTTAGTACATGCTATGACGATAAGCTGAGATGTGAGTATAACGACACCTTCAATTCGTTTATACCGACGTTGATTGTGCAACGGTGCAGTCTGGGACGTCGATCCAACCTTCATGAAACGCCCTGTCAAGTTCCCCACATCCCGTCCGAAGAAAGAAGTGTCACATGATTGCCAAACGGTATGGCCCTTGCTAGTCTTACGATCGATGTTGGCGATTCTGATAAAGGCTCTAAAGGGTCGATGGTTAACCGTCTTGAAGGCACAATGGTCACCGAACCCAGATGTGTACCCGCATGTCACGGCAAGTTTCTAGGATTGTTGTGTTCCATTGTCCCAGTTGCTCACAGCTCGAGTAGGTCGGCAACATGAGGCATTCTCTTGACATCTACTCATGCAAAGGAGAGCTTCTTGCACGGCTTTCAGACCCCTCAAAGTAAGCGTACAGAGCTGACTTCGAAACTGCGCTGCATCTCATGATTACTCACTTCGTCTAGGATCACTGCCGTGCAAGCTGTAACATGCTCGCATCCTAGCGTCGTAGAACGTGCAGCAAGTGGGAACGGCAGCGGAAGATGTGTCTTATGGGCACCAGCAGACGATTAACCTACCACTGCGCAAGCATGTACTCTCCCTTTCTGGTGTATCTTACCGATATCTTACTGTGGAATCGCATTTTGGACTCGAGATTGTATCGCTATTTTGTGCTACCTCTTGCATGGCCCGGCGGATGTCAAGTTATCGTTGAGACCAGGAAAAAGAAAAATGAGTAAAAAAGCGTCACCTGAGCGATTCGAACACTCGCGGGCATAGCCCAACCGCTGGGAGCTATCGAAATAGCAGGCGATCCCGTTAACCACTCCGGCAAAGTGACTTACTGGACGCCGGCTTAGTGAATTTAATAACCGGAACTGCTCCTTTATAAAGACAACAATTGACTCCACCACTCGTCCTCCTTGAACTCAACTTGCACATTCCCTCCACCATTCATGGCCAAGAAGACCAAATCCATCGCACAGTCACCTCAATCTACTGGACCTACATCGCGCATTGCCTTCCCGAGTGTCTCGAGCAAAGAAGGGCTAGAATGTCGCGCTTTGTTGGAGGACCAGATCTTGGTTATAGATGTCCGTTCAGCACTCTTATGCTGAATCGATGTATGTTCTCATGTATACCAGGATTTCTTCTCTCCAGAGGAATGCAAGACGTTTGTGAAATTCATAGATGGCCTGCCCTTAGAAATGACCCCTCCGAAAAAGAAAGGGGAAGCTGAGAGAGTGAACCGTACGTCCCCTTCGTCCGTCCCTAATTCACGTTGTAGAGGACCAGTCCGTTAAGCTCTATAACTCGAAAGACCGTATCTCTATCACATCTAGCGACTTTGCGCAGTCGCTCTATGAAGTGATACGCCCACATCTCCCATCGTTCCCATACCCCGCGTCGGTCAGACGACCAACTTCCGACCATACCCCGCACTCCCTGAACTCCAACATCCGGATGTACAAGTATACCCCCGGGCAACACTTTGGTTGCCATTATGATGACTCCGTAAAGGATTCGCAAACGGGAGCCAAGTCCGAGTGGACACTCTTGATTTACTTGAGTGGGATTGAGGACGGTGTGAAAGGGGGTGAAGTAGGTCTGATTCTCTCCGATGTCTCGAAGGTTTCCTGACTGCTCCCACAGACCATTTTCTACCGAGACCAGCGAGGAAAGCCGACAGAGAAGATTGTAGCTCCTTTGACTCGTGGTACAGCCCTTCTCCACCGGTAAGTGATTCGAAATTTGGAAGTAGTGAGGTGATTTTGAACGGCCTGCACTCAGCCATGGACACGAATGTCTACTGCACGAAGGCTCGCCGGTTCTTGAAGGAAACAAGTACATTCTGCGCTCAGATCTCATGTTCATGAAATAGCCACAAACGTACAAGCAAACGTACTGCAAGCTCCCAATACGCCATCATCTCCGTCCCTTCGACTTCTTCTTGGGCATCCCGGCCTCAACAACATCGTCGTCCCGATCCATATCGTCTCGTCCACCTCCTCCATCGTTCCTCCGCCTCTTCCTCCCCTTGCCCGCGTTTTGGTCCTTCATCTCGTTCGTCGCCATTCTCCCCGCCTCGTCCACCCGCTCCCTCAACAATGCGATCTCCTCTGCATCCGTCGGCCACAACTCCATCTTCTTCTCAATCACAGCTTCGATCCGCTGAATGAGCTCGACGTCGTATTGGGTGACGAGGGTGACGGATTTGCCTGAGCGGCCTGCACGTGCTGTGCGTCCGACTCGGTGGATGTAGTCTTTGGAATGGGTGGGAATATCGTAGTTGATGACTACGTCTACAGATGGAATATCAAGTCCTCTGCGAATATGCAATGGTCAGGATCTTGACTATCGTGATTTCAAGCAGTTACATACCGACTAGCGACATCGGTCGCTACGAGCACTCGTCGTCCACCGCTTTTGAACTTCGCCAGTGCACCAAGACGTGCACTTTGACTGAGTTGACCGTGTAATGGCACAGCTGGGAATCCAAGTGTTCTCAAGATGATTGATAGCCTACGCCCAATTAGCATGCCACTGACAGAGGAAGCAGAAGATCAAAAACGTACCGTTGAGCATCATGCACCGTCCTTGTGAAAACAATTATAGAGTTTTGAGCGAGAGAATTGGCAAGGTATATCAGGTGAACATCCTTTTGGACAAGGGGTATGAAAAGGTAGTATTGCAGCAATGTTGATACAGTAGAGTACCTAAGAGAAAGTTCAGATATGAACTCGAGATCGGCAGTAAAGACACAGACGCACTTTTCTGATACTTCAACTCGTACAGGATTAGACAAACTCGCTCTTTGTAGCTTGGCGACTTTTGTTGTCATCGTCGCGGAGAACAGGTAGGTTGTACGTTCTTTCGGGATGACTTTCAGGATTTTGTCGATGATAGGACCGAAGTCGAGGTCCAACAGTCGGTCTGCTTCATCCATGACCTGATAGAATTACATGCATGAGTCTATGAGCAAGCTGAATTTCTGCACAGTACGCACCAAGAATTGAAGGTTCCGCAGACTGAAGCCTTTGGTATTCTCCAAGTGATCGTTCAAACGACCAGGCGTCGCCACAATCACATGGGGCTTCTTCGCCAGTGTGACCGCTTGAGTCATCCTGTCGTCCATTCCTCCTACAATCGTCGCACACCTCACACCCATCGCAGCTCCCAATCCTTCAAAATGTTGCGAAATTTGATAGGCCAACTCTCGAGTAGGTGCAAGGACGACCGCGAACAGCCCTTTGGGCTCCTCCCATAGTTTTTGCAGAATAGGTAGAGCAAAAGCTGCTGTTTTCCCTGATCCTGTGGATGCGACACCAATGATATCCCGGCCTTCGAGTGCAGGAGGGAGAGCAGCAGTTTGAATCTCAGTAGGCGTCTTGAAGTTCATTTGCTTGAGAGCCTCGAGGAGAGGGTCGATGAGCCCGAGGCTCTCGAAGGTAGAAGGAGGAGCAGTGCTAGTGGATGCTTCTTCTGGGGATGGCATGGTGAAGGAGTCGTCAATCGAAACGGAGGCGAGAGGATAAGAAGATGGAACGGTCGTAGACTGGATGATCCTCGAAAAGAGAAATCCTGCGAGAGTTACGTAACAGCCAAGAAGCGCCGTCGGACTTCTCTTTCGCGCTGTGGCCCGAGTCGCCCGACGCGTCTCAACGCGTCTTGCCATCACGGTCGCGAGTCTCGTCGAGACACAGTCGTTGTCGAACGCGTCGCAGTGAGTCTGTTCATGTCTTTGCAGCTTCGTACATGAGCTGACTGGATTTGCTGTATGTGAATCTTCCAGCTGCGTACCCAAGACGCGCTGCTCTTTCCTATTAAGAGACTGTCGGACACGAACGCGATCGCGGCTCTGGCTCTGGCCTCTTTAATCTCTTTCCCGCCATCTTTGCATTCACAACTTCGCTGAGTGAAGTCTTAGCACAGCTACCTTCCATTACATGGCGACAACCAATCTCGTTCCGGGGCCTTCGAACATGGGGCAATCACCACAACCTGCTGGGCAGCCGTCACAAACCACTGGAGACAAAATCAGAGCCCTTATCATGGTGCGTCGTCTACATGGTCACGTCGGGCTTTCACTGATGATGGCCTCATCAGCGAGCAAATGTTCTTCGGAATGCTGGGTCTACTCCGGAAACGTCGCCCGAGCTTGGCAAGATCATAGCTTTTCTCGCCGCATGCCAGGAGCACCAACGTCAGTGTTGAACGTTGTTCATTTTCTTATTGCATGCTCGCTGATCTCGGGAATTCAGGTCGTCAATTGGAGCGAGCGCAAGCACAGGCTGAACAACACCAAAGCATGAGCGGCCAATCCCCGCTACCTACACCCACGGAGAACGGTATCACTCCTTCAATAGACTCCCCTTCATCCGCACCCGCATCACCGCTCCTGCCAACTGACACTTTGCCACGATCGCAAAGCCCGCAAGACATAGCGACGAGGCTCTCGAGCGAGATGGCGTTTTTGAAGACCACCTACGAGGCAAACTTTCGAGATCTTCTACAAGCAACTAACAACATGCGACAGAGGCTGGCTCTTGTTGAAGGAGAGTTGGCACAAGCGCAAGAAGGCCTGCAAACTACGCGCTTCGAATTGCTAGATACTCGTGAGGAATTGGTCACTCTCAGAGAAGAGCATCGCCGGACGAAGGAAGCGCACACAAAGCTCAAATCTGACTTCAAGACGGTGAAGGCGAAGTGTGCGCAGCTTGAAGTCGATCAAGAAGCCTTGCACGGCCGCGTTCTCGAGATGGAGGAAGAGGAAGATGATTCCCGCAATAATCTTCTGGCTGCCACCCTCATAAACACGGTACGTCGAAATGCAGAGTTAGCTTGAGGGACTGACCGGTACGATGCTTCGTATGCTTCCAGATGACGATCACAATGTCAACGAGGTAGCTCTGGCTTGCATACCAGTGCCGTACGCGACCATTGTCGACAGATCTACCACGTTCTTCTGTTTCTGCCTTCTTGTCCGTTCACACATTCGCTGCTCATTGGTCCACGTTTCATGAGCAAAGCGAGAGGAGGCTTGTTTTGGCTATGTCTGATACCTTATTGCATCATGGATTATAATCATACACCACGTTCATCAGCGAAGCGCGTTCGACAGTAACGAGTAGCTCCGGGCTGCGGATTCAGAAGAAATACCTCTATGATGTTCATTTTCATTTTTTATTTGAGTCGCGTATTTGGAAGAGAACATGTATGAATAGCAAGAAATGGTATGCTTACCTGAAAGCAATCAGAGGGCGAGGCTAGCGACCTTCGCAACGAGCGCACGCACCGTGTCGAGAAGAACGAGAGCCGTGTCGAAAGAAACAAGAGCCGTGTCGATTTACGGAGCGCCCGTCACCGGCTGCCGAGAGATGCCGCTCGACATATTTGGCAGTAATCCGGCGCATCTGGCGGAAGAGCCGGGGGCTCCAGTACTGTGGTAACTGGTGCGCACAAGGGGTCTCTTGGACAGTATTTACTGAAGGAATGCTGGGAAACAGCTGATGCCTTTGAAGTGGACCCAACAATGCTGTATGATTTTCGGGGTACTGTATGTGTATTGTCAAAGGGATACTTGTAAGTTAGGTAAGTACTTACTCGGTGTTTGTCACTGGAGAATCTTTTACTTACCGCGCGCATTGATCTCAATACAAACTGTACTGATCGGTTCAATCAAACTTATCACGGTCTGTTTACTACAGCTGTTTGCAAATCAATAGACCCCGGCGAAAAAATCAGACATAGCGTCGGCTACGCTACAGTGCTGCTAACCACGGTGCGGGACGTCAACCGAGCCTCTGGAGGCGTCGAGCCATGGGCCAAGACCACAATAGA